CCGCTTCGGTAGCCTGGCGACCTGCACGTAAAGTCGAGCATTTTATGTTAGAACAGTTTAACGAGGACCAATACCGCACACCCTCGGTCCCTACGCAGACTGATCCAAGTGGTCACACACCCGCACACTGACAGCAGCCAGTGAGGCTTGACATCGGTGATCTGCTGGGAACCGTGTTTTAACGATCAGTCCACTGCGGGACAATAATAGTCTGAAAACTTTTGAATCACAAGGCATATTTTTTTTTAATCATTTTAAAGTATCTAATTCCACATGGAAAATACAAAATTTGAGCGAAATTGGTTGATTAGTTCTTGAGAAATTGAGTTTTATAAGTACGACTTTTTTAAAATTTAATTTCTCAGGATTAATCGATTTCGCTGAAATTTTGCATTTTGCCATGTGGAAAACTTACAATGTTTTGTTATCCAATTTATATGCGAACAAATAACTTGTTTTCATAAACATATTCGCTAACATGATACATAAATAGCTAAAGCACGATTAGAGATGGAGTAGTGAAAGTTTTTGAAAGGGCCTCCGCCAAAAATTTTTGCCCCAGGGCCCCGAGGGATGAAGTTACGGCACTGGCTCATGGAAAAGAATTGTAACTACACATAATTCAGGCAAAAAGTTTTGTTAATCACAACAAGTTAAGCATAACATTAAAATTACAAGTTTGAATAATGCCTCTAAACGCAAGTCTGCTATAGGCAAATCGTAAGCTTAAAATATTAATTAGTCCAATAACTACATTAACACGACTTTCTTTTATATATATAGATTGAGTATTACATTTTAAAATGCAAGTAGAATTTAATAATTATTTCATTTTATGATTGTAAAACTGTTGATAAGTAACTTTGTCATATGTATGTCATAAGTATTATACGAGAATATTATGCGTTTGCTTTATAATGAAAGAACAAAAATTTATGTTTCAAACTTTTTGTGTAAAAGAAAAAATAAATTTTTTTTTTCTTCTTCTTATTGGTGTTAGCAATCAGAGAGTTTTTTTTTATCTTATAAATATTAAGTCAATATTGTTCCCTTTTAAAGAAAAATGCATTTCGCTCCGAAAACAAAATTACTTGAATTCAAAAAGAAGATAAAACAAAGGAAAATTACAGACATATGAAAAAAGGGGAAAAAGAATAAAAATTTTTTTTTTAAAATCCGGGAAAAAAAAGATATAATCTTTTCATTAGCCCACACGATTATATTCGCAAAAAAGAGTGCACTCTTTTTTCCGGGAATGAAGTTCCATGAGGGAATGACGTCACGTAAAGCGGGAATTTCTTTTTCCTCACCATGATCCTCCTGGAAACTGTTTCTCGGCAAGAAACTCAACTTAGAGGGAATTATTAATTTTTGAGGACTAAATACGATATTTCGCCGATGAATGTCTTAACTATTTTCTATTTCATAAGAGAAGATAACAAAATTTCTAAAAGATGAACGTGCCCGAGCAGTGGCGGACTAAGGCTAAAGCGGGGCCCTAGGCAACATTGTAATTCCGGGCCTATTTTTCAGTCATGACACATACTTTGCTTTTGGTAGTTTGGTTTTAAAGCATATAGTATGTAGTTCCATTTAACTATCGAATTTTCAGAGGGAAAAAAAAGGAAAAAAATAGTATACTTATACAGAAATTAAATAAACATAATTTATTAAAACAAACAAACATAAACAAAATTTATTAAAACAAACAACAATACTTAAACAAATATACCCAGATTGATTAGTTATATTGCCTTTTTTCTCACTTTCAATTCTGCAAATTCGTCAATTAGTTTGTTATAATTAATAGAGTTTTTCAATAATTATTTTTCTACATAAAGTAATGATAAGCTATTTAATTTCTGTTGCCCTATAATGTGGATCGTAAAATTTTTTTTTCTCTGATCATTACTGAGAATGATCTTTCACCGCTTGTACTGCTTATATTGGAAGGGTTAAATAAATTCTCAGAATTATGTTTAAATTAGGGAATGTTGCAATAATATTATTTTCCTGAACAAATTACCACATGGATACTGGAGAAATAATACTTTCTTTACTTACAAAAGTCTTAAATTTTAATACTTCAGTTCTGCTAGGTTTAAATCTTGTTAGTAACATTTTAATTCCTCTATTGAAGAGTCACTATCATGAAAAATTGTTTTGAGTTTTATCCCTCAGATCTTTTTTTAATATTGCTAATTAAAGAATCGCATGCAACAAAGAAAATATTAACTTTAAAATGTTCTTTGCCACTGAATCTTATTTCAGGCTCTGGAATTTCATCATGAAATAGTTTTCGTATTTTCAGGCATTTTTTATCATTAGTATATGCAATATCTTTAACTTTTTCTGCTCCTTTTTCTAAATTGTCAAAATCGACTCTAACAGTTTGTATGAAATCTATCAATGAATCATATATTAAAACTGCTGTACTTAGGGATTCGTCTTTTTGTTGAAGAGTCTTGCTTGAAGCATCTATTCTCTCTAAAATCTTTTCCCATATAGTGAGTAACAGTACATACTCAAAGGTATCAAGTTTTTTATGTAAATCGGCAGCTTGGGACCTTGTTGATGGTTTTTCATCTTTGTTTGAGGAAAAATGACGTAAACAATGTTTAATTTCTTCATAATTTTCCTTTAAGGATTTCACAGCATCGGAATGAGCAAACCACCTGGTGTCATAAATAGATTTAATACTCAAGTGTTTTCTCTTACAAAAGTTTTGTAATGTATTCCACCTATGTGAAGAACTTGAAAAAAATACCTACAATTCCTGAACGATATTGAAAAAAGTGGTCATTTCCATGCAACTTTTGACAGCAGCATTTCCAATTAAAATTAATGAATGATTTACGCATGGTATAAAATGGGCAGAAAAAATATGTTGTTTCATTCTGGATTGGAGTCCCTTATATTTACTTGACATATTAAAAGCATTATCATAACTTCGTCCCCGACAGTTAGTGATGTCTAAATCTAAAAAAAAAGGGGATAGTACACCCGTTTCGGTACCGCGACGACCTGCTCGCTAGGTCAAGTGCTTTACGTTAGAACAGTTTCACGAGGACCAATACCGCACACCCTCTGTCCCTACGCAGACTGATCCAAGTGGCAACCCCCCCTACACTGACCGCAGCCAGTGATGCTTGACTTCGGTGATCTGCTGGGAACCGTGTCCTAACGATCAGTCCACTGTGGGACCAATAGCAATTTAGTTTAAACCATGAACGCATGATAGAACTTATATACGAATTAAGGCCTCACATACCTTTTAATAGGTAAAAAATGAGAGAAAACGAGCAATTTTCAATCATCTGCCAATTTTATAATAATTATTCTAAAAATACCAAATTTTGAAATATGACACTATACATAGTCTACATTTTGAAAACAATGCAAAAATGTTTTTTCAAAAATTAAGAAATTTCTTAATTAATTGAAATTTTAATTCAATAAAATTTTTCTGTTTTTATTTGCGCGCAAGCTTCTGGAAAAAGTTTACATAATATTTGCTTGATTTTTTTTGTGAGTATAGAAATATATGGTAAAACTAAAATGACGAAGAATGAACAAATAATTTTACTTTTTTCTCTATGCAAAAATTTTTTTAAAATTTATTAAAAAATTTTAACAAAAAAAATTGCTATTTCATTTTTTTAAATGTCAATACATTAATCCCACCTTCAAATGGCTTCGTTAATTTATAGAAACAGGTATTTGAGACCTGCTGTAAAAATTTTGTGCAATTCTAATCAATAGTTTTCGAGATATTGTGCGCGCAAGGTGTAAAAATAGCATTTTGAGATAAATGAGTTTAAACACAAAACAGGACATATTTTATTAAAGAAAATGTATGACTTATTTTTTCGATAACTTTTGATCTAATGTGAATTTTTTTATGCTTTTTTTTCCAAATTTTCAGAAAGATCCATAGAATAGAATAAAATATTATTAAAAAAATCGATTTTTTTGAAGTATTAAAAGGTATGTGAGGCCTTAAAATATGCAAAAAAAAAAATATATATAGAATTTTTTTTATTCTTTACTCATTCATGCTTCGTGGTGCCCCTTTACCTCAGGTGCCATACGCACCTGCTCAGTTTGCTTCATGGTTAATCCGGCCCTGTGCACAAAGAACAAGCAGTTATAAACAAGTAAAAAGAGGCCAAATTGGAACTGCTAAAAAGCCTTTTTAACAAGACAGCTCTAAGTAACTAAAACAAATTTTCACTTCAAACTCATCAGAATTACTTAATGTCATTAATAACTTATGAAGTATTGCTCAGGAATTATATTATTTATTTCTCTTATTAAAAATAAATTTATCTGTTTGAAAATATCGCCTCGCAGAAGAAGTTGTAGTTATCAGCTAACCGGATATAGCGCAGGTCATGAGATCGAGATTGTTGTTTACATTTATATTGAAAACACCATCCATTTATTATTTTGGAATAAAAAAACTTTCTTTCATCTTTTTAAAAATAATTTTAAAGTAAGTTTTATTTACATCTTTTGAAGGAAGAAAGGAGAAACTCTTAAGTCACATAGTTTTCGCTAGATGGCAGTATCATATGAAATAGTCTTTCTCGTTTTAAATTAATCATCCCTTATCAAACCCAAAGTGGTGTCTCTTTCCCGACTTATCTTTAATCTTTACAAATTGATTTTCTTCATGGCCAGTGATGGAATCGTCCAGTAATCCGCTACAGTTATGATAAAACGAAACTGAAATTTTGTGTCTTTTTGAGATTTAGAAAGTAGGTAATGTATTAAAAGAGCAAAAAAGTTTTAAAATATGTATTACCTTAACTCAGAATGTATAAATTAAATAGAGATTATATATATATTAATACAATTAAGTATAAGTGAATTTTTTAGTAATCATTCCTCTCGAAACGTCTAAAATATGAACATAAAAACTATTCGCTTAGATATGAAAGAAATAATCAAAGCATGAAATGCTGTTTAGTAAATAAAACTTATAGGAAATCTGAGAAATTACAACAGTGCGTTTATATTCATCCAAGGAAAAAAATACTGATGAATAATATATCTAGCTGTAAATCCCTCTTTAATAAATCTTTCATCGAATTAAAATTGGGTTAGTTAAGTAAGCTGAGGATATAATTATTTAGTTGTATGTGCTTGTTCTTTTCATAACTCAATCCTCATAAGGTTATATTTCTTCAGGTCCCCAATTTTTTTTCTCCATTAGACTTATTTCACTATGTCACCATTTGGGGATATTTCCACATGAGAAGGGGAAGCAGGGATCCAATTCTTAAAGGGGACAAAATTAAAAGCCACAATATATCTTTAACATAAAAAAATATTATATCAACAAAAATACGAGTATTAATTATATTTATCTCTGTCTTGTTTTTAACTTTTAACAAATATATATCAATAGTGGAAATTTTGTTTACTGGTCTGAAATATTGTTGGGGGGGGGGGGGGGTTTNGGGGGGGGGGGGGAGCTTTTAGAGACTTTTAATTATTGCGTGGGATGTATACCGACTTTCATCCATGCCAAGGATGCCCATGAGGGGAAGATTTCCATATTGTGATCTGCAGCTAAATAATAGCCAGGTCATGACAGCTTCTGGGTAGAAGCCTATGAGAAATTTTAAAAAATTCACAGAAAGGGACCGACTGGGGATATTTCTGTATCATGATCTGTTCCTCCAACTGCAATCGCAACAGCGGCAAACAAATTTTAAAGAAAAGAAACATATAGAGGTTGCCCAGGGGTCAGTAGGTGTTATATTCTTAAAGAGTTGGTTCAAGTTTCTGATGGTTACTATGTTTAGTTTTTATAAGTACCCTGCAGTAACTATTCCTATAAGGTTAAAGGATTCATCCTTGTTTGAAAAAATATTTATTAAGGTTGAAATAAATGATGCTTTTATTACATTTGTATGCCTGTAAATCAACCATTTTTTAGAAATGTCAATTTTCAATAATCAACAAATAATTCTGTATGTTTATTCTAAGGGTTGCACAACCTTTTTGAGTGAATGGCCAATTGCACAGCAGGTTGAATAACAAAGGGGGTCGCACACATATTAAGGCATGTTTACGACAAGTAACAAAAATTGAAAAGCACTCATTTTTTTTATCAGTAAGCCTGGAATTTATTATTTATTAATATTTTCAGAAAATTAAATACTTTAAATTTTTAAAAATACTTTTTATTATTAAAATTAATTTAAAACTGAGAAAGACTGATACCGTGAACTCTGGATCACTTGAATCTGATAGGACTGACGAAAAACTTCGACATGTGGGAAGTTCGACTTACCGTTAGTTTCGGTTTTGGACTTTCAAAATCAGGGTTGGGTTTTTGACATGAAAAAGTGGTTTTTGACATGACAAGGGTATAATACTGGTTTAAACCGTCAAAAACCCGTCAAAAATGTCAAAAACTAAAGTTTGCCAAAAAAATATATATAAACTTCAAAACTACCAACAGTTGCCATGCATTATATTGAAATTTAATTATACTATGGGTAATCAGCAGGTTTTAAAATATTTTTTAATTAAAATTAAGGTAAAATAACAGATTTAAAATCTCAGAAATTTATATTCAAATGCATGTGCAGAAAAATTTTGCACAAAATTTTTTTAAATATTTATATTTTGAAAAAAAATTTTTTTTTTTTTGATACTTAAGAAAATTAAAAGTTTATTACTATGCATTTTTGACATATAAGGAACATATAACTAATATTTATAAGGAACTTACAAGTTATGTTGTATAAATACAAACTTGATATAAGATACAAGTGTATAAAAATTTTTTTTTAATGTTATACCGAATATCTTTATTATCCAGTATGTTAATTTGAATTTAAAAGTAGTTATATTTGTGAATAATGATAAATATAATTCATATTGTTTATTATATTTATTTATAATTATTACACTTATCATTTTAAAACAATTTTTATCTCTTAATTTTTTTTTCTCCACTTGTATTAAGAATACAAATAATGCATATCTTGAAAGCAAGAAGTAATTATTCAACAGCTGAATATTTAGATATTCAACAAAACTATATAGTATTCAGCAAAATGAAATTCACAAGTATTTGGATAAACTAAATTTTCAGCATAGTAAATGAATAGGCTGAATATACTGTAAATCGACACTAACTACTCTGTGTATTTAACAGAAAGCACTTAAATTTGTATTGTCTTATGTTAAAAAGATTATTAAGAAGATTTAAAAGAATATTAAAAAGATTTTTCTTTAAAAGATGTCTAATGTACAAAACTGCTAATGTTTATCTTTAAAAATGTCTAATTTTTAGTATAATCTATACTATACACTAAATTTGGTTATAAATAAATTTCTTAATAATATCACTGCAGATTTTCAATAACACATGAAAATGAATACATAATATTACAAAAGATGTGAGCTTTCAAAAGTACAAGATTTTGGTTACTATTCAAAATATAAGTGTTTCTTCAAAATTTTAAATTTATTTTTTCTAGAACATATTTAGAAACACTATCCTTTAAAAAATATATAAATTTTATGTATTAATTAAATTTCACATATGAATATAGGTTTTTGACATTTTCGACATTTTTGACAGTGAGGTTTTTGACGTGACGGTTTAAACCATGGTTTAAACTGTCAAAAACTGTCACATGTCAAAAACCTGCCAACCCTGTTCAAAATATTATCGGATGAATTAATTAATGCTTATTAATTACAAATCTTCTAAATGCTTACAATATTTAAGAAAAAGCTATAAAGTATAATATAATAACTTACTTTATTATTTGTACTACATTTTACGTTTTTTTGAAGTAATCTGTTACTTTACGTTGAAGTAATCCCTTTTGAGTCTCTAGAAACAGTGAATCTTCAATTTTCTGCAGGTGCACAAACATAGAATTATCAATACCTTCTCGACTCTCTAGAAACTTTTGAAGAACTTCAAGAGATGCACGCGCTTCAAGTATATTTGGGACTATTGTTTCTGAACCTTCTTCCTCAGCAGCACTGTCATAATTTTCTTCTGTGATCTGTATAAATTCTTAGTCGGAAATATCACCACAAACAGCAATGTTTTCATCGAAGTTTATGAAATCGGAGTTCTCAATTACTTCCTCATCTTGAAGCTCTTCTATCACAGGTTCACTCTGTGTTTCTTTAAAAAACCCTCACTTCCGGAAACAGTTTCTTATTGTCATTTCGCTTACATCATTAGTCCAAGCACTGGAAAGTAGCCTCATGGCTTCAAGTACATCAACTTTGAAAGAAATATTGTTTTCAATATCGTTTATCATTTTTCTGACAAGCCTTTTACGATAAGACTAATGGAAGCACTTTATGATACCCTGGTCCATCGGCTGCGACTTTGATGTTTTGTTTGGCGGGTGAAACTGCAAGTTTACTGCTTTCAAATTAGGTAGATCACTATGCGCTGTGCATTTATCCATAAAGAGTATCACTTTTCTTTTTTTAGCGAAGAATTTACGATCCAATTTTCTTACATAGTCTTCAAATAAAACTGATGTAATCCAAGACTTTTTGTTAGACTTGCAATCCAAGGGATGCGTTTTTACATTCTTGAAACATCGGGGATTTCATTATTTTCCGATAACAAGCAAGGGCAATTTCTCTGTCCCAGACGCATTTCCTCCAACTAGAGCAGTCAAACGTTCCTTGCTCATTTTACCCCCTGAGCAGTTTTCATCCTTAAACATCATAGTCTTATTTGGAAGACATTTAAAAAATAAACCCATTTCATCAATATTGAAAAGATCATTTTCACTGTATCCTTGAAGTAAATTTGGTAACGTTTTATTTAACCACTGTTCACATACTTCAAGAGGGACAGCTTTAGCTTCTCCATGAAGAGTGCGAAAGACAATATTGTGTCTGCTCTTGAATTTTTCTAGCCACCCAGCACTAGCGTGAAAATTGTCTATTTTTAACAGTTTAGCAAAATCTATCGCTTTCTCACGTAGCAAAACACCACTTATGGGAGTAGCATTTTCTCGATTTCTGTACTGCTGAAACCATTTCAGAGGAGCTGATTCCACCTGGGGAAAGGCACACATCTTCATTCTTTTAGACAGTGGGTTCATAGATTCATATCGTTTAAGGATATTTTCTCTTTTAATATCGTAGAAAGGGTATTCGGGAGAATTCCATACTTCAACGCTATATCTTTCTTCTTCATGTTTGGATTTCTGTCTACATCATTAATAAGATTAATTTTATCTTCAAGTTGAGAGTTTTTAATTTTCGCTTCGACATCTTTAGAGGTAAACACTTCTTCCATACAATCTCTAACAGCAAATCATAAGCATAAAGCTTGTTCAGACCAGATTACTCATTCCCCACACGGGCCACAGGTGTTACTAATCCCTCTCTCACTCTGACTAAACTTGTTCTGACCAGTTGAGTGTATTGTGTGTAGTCTATTGTGTGTGTGTTGCAAAGGAATGACAAGATATCTGCTCCTAGGTTTTTTTTCTTGCTTTAAAAGACCCAGTAATCTTTTTAAAAAAAAATCTAGTTAAAGGGAGTAAAATTCGAGTAATCGAGAATAATTAACTTGAAATTGAAGATTAAAGGGTCGGGACCTCATTAAAAGAATCAAGTTATTGTAATATTCGAGTTATTGTACTTTGAGTTATAGCGAATTGACTGTACTTTTTTTATAAAAAGGAATTTCCCTTTTTTTTAAAAACTGATATATTCAAAAAAATTTAAAAACTGAATAAAAGAAATGTATTTTCTTTCTTTCTTTCTTTATTTTTTTTGCAAGAAAGAAAATCTTCACAGAATGAAAGTATGAAAAATAAACCAATCAATAGATTTTGATGAGTAATATAAATTCAAATTAAATATTTAATTAAAGAAAATTTTTAGGGTTTAAACAAAAACCAAAGATTAAAATAAAACTGTTATAGTGAAAATAAAATTGAATATTTATTTGGTATTATACTTCAGTTATTATTTCTATTTCTTGAATTATTAAAGGTTTCATGAATTTTTAATATGAAATGTTTTCCTTTTATTTATTTTTTTTTCTGAAAAAATCACCCAAGTTACAAAAACTTAAAAAAATTTTTTTACGAACAGTGAGCTGCTTAAAAATCCACGTTTCCGATACTTCTCGAATGCAATTACATTGTATTAAAATATCGAGATTCTGTATCACATTGTATTAAAAAATTGGAATACCTGGCTGTGTCGAAAAAAATAATTGTATTGACAATGAAATAAGACACAAAATTGCATCAAAATTTAAATGTAAGTTTAAAAACTCGCATAACATAATAACGTTTGTGAATTGTAGTTGGAAAAAATGAGATCATCAAAATCACATGGTAAAACGTTTCAATTATTGCATTAAAAAAATCGTAATTGCTTAAATTACGATGAAATCAGCATGAGTAAAGCATTTCGATGAGTAATAAATTAAATGCCTTATCAAGACAGGCCCTCATACTCCTGCTACATAAAAATCTGATCACAGGGGTTTGTCTAGGTTTTTTTGAGAGGTACCTATTTCATGAAAATTTAGGCATAATTTGTGAAAATTGAAAGTTACATAAAAAAATCAACACAAAAATAGGGTAATGTAAGTAAATATTTTCAAAAATATTTAAATATTTTAATAGTATTTTGTGAAACTACTGCTTTCCCTAAAGTTGAACGGGTGAAAGTACCGCTAAACGGTTGGAAATTCGCCCTGGACAGACCCCTGGATCATTAGATCAAATGTAATTGAGTGGTTTTCGCTTAAATTTTGCCTACTGTTTATTTAATCAAAATAATATATTCCTTTAAAATATGTGGAAAAAATTAATTTTTGTCTGTTTACTGTTATCTTTTTGTAACCTATTTATTTTTCGCTTCTTGCGCATACGCAATTCAGATCTTTGTATGCAATTTTGAGAGTGTTAAAAATTTTGTTCTTATGACACAGAAGACGTCATTTTTTTACTTATATTAAATTTTTTAAAATTCCCATTCCATTTATTTTTTTCTCCGTAATTTTAAAACAAATTATTGAATTGTAAAATATTGGTTCAAGAAATATTCACTATGTTTTACTAAAAAAGAAATTTTTGTTATGCTTTCTTTGAGGCAAATAACTTTAGAATCTTTAATTTTAATCCATAGGATCTCCATTTCAATCTTTTTCAATGATGTACTACAGTACAGTGAATTGAATCCAAACTTTATCCCTGACCCAGTATCAGTATTCTAGGTGTACCCTGGAATTCCGGGTTTTTCTTATTTCTCTAGGAGCAGGGCATGTGGTTTTCTTCGTGGAATTCCGCATTTCTTGTAACCATTAATTCGCGGATTTCCTTGAATCAAAACTTATTCAACAAAATTTTCATCTCAATCTAAAATTTAAATTTATAAACAATTGCTAATTGGCGTCAACGAGACGTTTTCATACACTCCTCTGCAATTTTACATTTTATTTATTACTTTTTATTTTTTTTGGTTTGTTGGATATTCATCGTTTTTAATATTTGAAACTTTGTCAGAATCTGCTAATATAGTGATTCATTATTCCCTCGACTTTAACATCAAACGCCGATTTACGCATTTACCCGATTTAAAAATCGTACCTCTCGTTTCGTTTTCACTGGATTTAAAAATCCAATATCGCAATTTGTATTTAAAAATTTTTGAAATTAATATCGCGATCGTATTCACTCGAATTTAAAATCCAGCGACTCCAGTCGTATTCGCGGGATCTAAAAATCTTGCATCGTGATTCGTATTTACGCATTTCAAAAATCCAATATTGGGATTTGTAATATTGCGTTCCCAAGTCCACTATCACGATTTGTATTTTCATGTTCTTAAAATACAATAGCGTGATTCATATTCATAAAATTTTTAAATCCAATGTTGTGATTCTTGTTAGAACTAAATTTTTCTTAAAAACTTAAATGATTTGCTATAAAAGTGTGATATACTTCAGTGGTAAATAATGTAATTATAAATCTTAGCTCAAAAAATTATATAAATTGATGTCTATGTATCGAGTTTTTGCTTATAAAATTTTCAAGGTCCCTGGCTCTTTATAGCACATGAACTATCAACTCAAGAGGAAAAATATTTTTACGTTGGAGAGAAAGAGAATGAGTTCAAACTAAGGAAATTTCAGCGTTTGGAACTTCGTTTATCCATCATTTTCTATTCTTTAAATCAGGGATGGGCAAACTTTTTGGGTCGTGGGCCAAAAATCTAGAAAAAAAAGTTTGGTGGGCCGAGTAAAAACTTCCGAAATAAAATAAAGTCAATTCATCATTGAGTGCACGTCACTCCACATCAACTTTGCGTTTTTTAGTTGCCATTTTGGGATAAAAAATGTTTACAAATAACTCAAAAAGGCAGTAGCCATGACATTGTATGTGTGCAACTTTTCCATACGCCGTAAATTATGTTAGAACTCGTGCCGGCAGAAAAATCCGTTTGTTGGAACTTAAAACGCGTAGTCAGCCTCATGTGAAGTACAATTCACCTATATTAGATTTCATATGTCTGCTCCTCGAGAAAGACAAATACTAGTTGGAGCTAATCTACAGTTATTCTATAAAGAACTTTTGCTGTTAACATTTTACCAGTTAAAGCTGTTTGTGCTAACTATTTTAATTAATTTATGTTTTGTAGAACAAAAATAGAGAAAGTAAAAAGTTAAAATTCTGTCCGCGGGCCGGATAAAATCTTCCGGCGGGCCACAGTTGGCCCGCGGGCCGTAGTTTCCCCATCCCTGCTTTAAATTATGAATGAATTTGAAACAGAATTTGCAGATATTTTGCTACTTTATAGTATCCTTTTAAACTTTTGTTATAACTTTTAAAAATCTTGACCATTACTATTTTTGATGATTTTTTTTTATTCTTTAGGTGGAGTGTCTGAATATAAGAACAAGCAATCATTAACCATACAGGAAGTAAAGAAAGAAAAATTCAAAACGATGCCTTCTGATGATTCGACGTCAAATTCAGGCACTAATGATCGCTTACAAGAAAGTACCACTTCAGGTGGTCTTCAGGTACAAAGTAAAATTATGTGTATGTTTTGTACAGACCTTAGAGGCATGTTTGTGTAGATGTTTATAAGATATCTATTATATAGCATCAATAATATGCAGCAACACTGATATAACATTCAGTCTAATTTTCTGTAAAGTTATAGTTTTGAAAGAATATCTTAAATATTGTAATGTGTTATTACTATCTATTTATTACGTTCTGAAAAATTTAATATAAAATTATGTTTTAGATTTTTTTAAAATAAAATATCAGCAAATATGCTCTTACAATCTTACTCGTCAATTACCATACTACTAATCTCATAGCGTTTTTAAAATGTGCTTATTTTTGATTTTCGTTTTTTAAAAGCTTTTAATGATGCTTTTTTTATTCATTGTTTTTATAAAGTGCTTAATTTTCCCTTTTCGAAAATGATATATTTTTTCTTTACTGTGTCGATTTTCGCCACTTATTATGCAAACGCGTGCTTTTCACATTGTTCTTATTCAACGTTTTCACAGTTCATTCTACCACAATTCATTTCGGCCTATTATCGATCCATAGTGTATGCAAGCGGCCATTATTTTACATGTTTTATAAGTTCTTGTGGTGAGATTCTTGCACTCTCATGTGTAACTCAGCTGCATTTTGCTAGATATTCTCAATTTCAGGCCCATTTTCCTCCCTCTGATATTGAATTGAAATATCTTTCGATCTTTTTATGGTGACTTATATAATCAAGAAAAGAGTTCTTTGTCAGAAAGTAGTTATTTTATCATGATCACGTAAAGTCTTTGAAATTCATTTCGCATTTTGTTAAGATATATAGTGCTTAAAAATATTTTTTAAGTGCTTAAAAAGTACTTGAAAGGCACTTATTTTTTGTTAAACCTGAATTTTAAAATTCTGTCAGCTTCCAAAAAACTTTTTTTTTAAAACTAGTAACAAAAAAAAATGTAGCTAAATAAATTTTACGTTTGAGGCTAGATGCAAAAATTTGCAAGTCAAAAGAATATCGCATTTTAAAAATCTATTTCAAAGATCATGTTGAAATTCCTCGTGCTAATAACTAATGAGAAAGCGATTTAGAATGAAATTGCTTTGAATTGAGTGAGTCTACTCAGAATGGTATGTCATTATGCTATTGTACGATTAAAAAAACGTGGAGGATAATTTGTGGCAATAAGTGCTGAATAAAAAATCAGCTAGACGACTTGAATTTACACCGATATGGTCGTGAATAGAGTTCCATATAAAAATGCAATTACTCAAATTCGAAATTCGTCTATCGTTACAGTCGCATATATAAAAGATCAGGTTTTTAAAAGTTAGTTGGAAATTTCTAACAATAATTGCTGGATAAAGCATTAAAAATTTTGACAAATTTAGAATGAAAGTAATCATGTTAAAAAGTGATTATTTAAATGCGTGAGTCAAAATTTTACAAGTAATAATTTTCTATTAAAAATATTGGGATTTCAAAAACTATGTAGCAATGCATCATGGTAACTGCAAAAAACAAAAAGAACTACAAGCTTTTAAAATTATTGCTAAATCTTCACGCCTGAAGAGCATTAAAAAAAGATAGCACCTTTTGAAATCTGTGTGGCAATCAAGTTAATGAATTTGAAAGAACCATACAAAAATTTGTTTACAATAGAAGCCGGCAAATGTTTTGAATAATTTTTGGCACTTAACTTAGACATCTCTGTTGTCTTAGGGTAAATATCCTAAATTCATAATTTTTCCGCTTACCCTGAGCAGCTCAGACTGTGAATCTTATACTGTATTTGCATGCCTGTCAAGTCTCCTGTATTTTACGACTATCTCCTGTTTACCCGTATATTCTGAAATTTTTCCGTATTTGTTGAAGAAATTTGAAAAATAAAATTGATGATAAAATATCCGCTGATGGCAAAAATACTTCTCTTATTCCTCAACAGATGGTGCGTTCTAATGAGGTGAACCAGGTTCAAATCCCAACGGCGGTCGGTCGACATGAATTCCGCACCCGGCTCGCACCGACCGCAGTGTCGACGTAAAATATCCTTGCTGGTGGAATCAAGAGTCCCCTTACCGTCAGGCTGACCGTGGGAGTTCTTCGTGGTTTTCCATTCCACGTGACGCAAATGCGAGTTAGTTCCATTCCATGAAAGCAAATCTCTCCCAATACTCGATCCAGGAGTTTCCTCGTCCTCTAGAGTAGGTTTAAAAGGACGAGGCTACGAAGTCGAACACCGGTTGTCGTAAACACCGAATCGGGTCGGCCGTTCGACGACGGTCATAAAATAAAATAATTATAAATATTGGTTTTAAAAAAATCTTGTTTAGATTAAGATTTATATTGCTGAATGTAAAGTGCTTCTTTCATTTGTATTTCTCTTTACATGAAAATGTTATTTTATTTCAGTATTCATTGATTGGTGGCCACAATATTTGGGAATGGCTCTTTCTTGTGATTGGAACTTGGAATGTTGCTATTCTTCAGGCTTCATCTGGTGTGGCTCTTGCACAGTGTGAACTACATCATACGCTCTTGTCTGCAGAATTCTCTACAGAAGTCATTGTTATTCTGGTTTCTGGTGAGCATTTTATCCTCTTAGGTTTATATCTAATTAGAATTCCCAGCTAATATCATTAGGTAATATATCATCGAGCAGCGGAACTTCCTTACATTTTATAGATAATGAGCCCTTTCTAAGATTACAATTCTACGCTCCATATTTGTGTAATGAAATTAACAATTACGAAAAAAAGATTATTTTATTGTGTCTAAATTTAAAAAAAAACTGCTTCCCTCCCCCCCATAGAGAACTATTACTGACTGATGGGAAGGTTCTTAGTTTAAAATATCATAGTATATTAAATAATAAAAATTTCAGAAAAACAATGAAGCAGAATAGAAAAAAAAATGTTAAATGAGAGAGGAATAATTTGCAGGTAAACAATTTATTCTAATTTTAAAACAATTCGAATTTTAAAGTTAAAATTACAAATTCAAATTCTTGATTGCCAGTTGGTAATGTTTGGATGATCGACATTAACTATTAATTTCAAAATGTCCTTATTCTATATTAAAAAAAAACCTATGATAGTTTCTATCATGTATTAATATTTAAAGCACTGAAAATCTAAAATTACTTTTTCTGCAAAATACTAAAGTGGATTTTAAAATATTTGGTTTGAAATATCAAGATTTATCTTTATCTTGGAATAAAAATACTGAAATTCATTATTTCTCTTAATTTTTAAGAGTGTCCAGTTATTATATATATATATATTGGGCCGGGCAAGGTTAACTCAGCCTTTCATCCTTTCAGTGGGTCGATAAATGAGTACCGAGCATGCTTGGGAACTAAACACCGGGGGTTCCGTGCAAAGTTGGCAAGTTTCTGCCAAGGTGGTTAAAACTGGCATAGCAGAAACCCTTTTCTGCCACATTTGTGACAGAAACTGGCAGAAATTCAGAAAATGGCATAAAAGTAAGTATTGACATATAATGGATAATTCATAGAAAAGACAATTAAAAGTTAAATGAAGTACAATTTATTTACAAAATTATCACCGTTCAAAATCAAATATTACATTGTTTGCACTCTGCAGTAATCTGTAACAAAAGACAAGTTTTGATGCAGTTTCTAAACCTAAACAATTTCTTAATTTGCTATGCACGAACGAGAAATTTGAGAAGCTTCTCTCAAGTCCAGCAGAACTAGCAGGTATTTGCCATCAAGGAACAAGCAAGATTTGTGAAACTGTCATCTATTGCATATTTTTTAAAACTGAATCACCATGTAGCAGCTGGGGTAGTTGTCAAAACTTGACTGGAAAAATAAGATTCAGGAAATGGGGCCGATTTGTTTTGCAAAGCTATGACATAAGGTACAAAATCTGGGTTAAAATTGGCGAGTAAAATTCTGGCACTTTCTTCTTGAACACATGATAATTTCAATCCCAAATACTTTGGATGCAGCATATAAGCTAGCAAATGATAATAAGTAACTGCCTGTTTAAATCTGTATGTCACTTCTTTTTCATAAACAGCCATAAGATTCTCTTCCTTTGTTAGATTAATCAAAATATCACAAGCATTTGCAATTGAACAGTTCTCCTTCTGAACTAAATCAAGGGCAATAGCGATGGGTTTTATCTGTAGCAGCAGGTGTATGACTTCTTTGTTGATCATCTGATTATTTATGACCTGAACAATTCCTTTGTCATTGATATCATGTTCTTCAAGTATCTGAAAATAATATTGCTGATTTTTTACAAATGATTCTAAGCAATCCACCTGACTATTCCACCGTGTATTACAAGGTAGATGTGGTTTCACAGCATTCGAATACTCCTTAAGTCATGCTCCAGTCCTAATTCTAATAAATTATGTCTTGAAAAGAAAAAAACTATTTGAAAATATTTCTATTCAGTTATGTTAAGAGTTAAATGATAATAATTACTGAATTTCAAAGTTTAATATAATAAACAAATATCTAGTATTTATATTTATATTTATTATTAAATTACTTTATTCTTTATTTTATATAACCAACCAACCTTTATTTTATATAATGAACCAAGGTCAAGAAAANCTCAATCTCTCTCTCTCTCTCTCTCTCTCTCTATATATATATATATATATATATACAGTATATATATGTATGATTGAAGGATTCATTGTTAGGAATTCAAGCATGTTATGAAATTTAATCAACCATCAAGTCATGGTGATGAATTCTGAGATCATACACTAGCGTATCATGGCATCTCTTTTATTTGATCTTAAAAATGATCCATTCTAATATGTCACCAAAATTTTAAATGGTATTTTTGTTTCTAGACATCCTAATTTAAGGTATATTTTTTAAGGAGGTTTTGAATTAGGTTTTGTTTTGTTTAATTTTGTTTTGTTATTGAGGTTTTAATTTAGTATTGGTATGATTAACTAATTGATAGTGTAACAAGTTATTGATGCAACAGTGATCTTTACAAATTTTTCAGTACTCTTTTAATAAAGTTTAACTGGTTAAAATGTTCTGTTTTAAACAAAGTTATTCTTAAGTAAAACTAGTTATTATTATTTTGCCTTAATCATTCTTAAGTTGAGCAATGTTTTAAAATTATTGTGTTCTAGTGATTGCTCTTGGATTTGCTGTGTATGGAGTTCATGAGGAGCACCAATATGATATGTTTCTCCACATTGTTTTTGCCACCATTGCTGATTTTTTTAGTTACTTTGCTGCTGAGAAAAAATGTCACTCTTGTTTAAAACTTGTAAGTATGCTCTAGATTTCTTTGAGGATTCATTTTGTGGGAGATCATCAACCTTCATCTCTGAAAAGATATCCCACCGTAGAATCATGTTAACGTGTCTTATATACTAGTAAATTGTATTTTAGTAGTGGTAGATAGATTCACTACAGTACTCCCCTACCAGAATTATGTCTGTGACAGAATTCAATGAACGGATACCACTAGTCGATTCATTGCTGTTCTGCGAGAAGCCGGGAGAACTGTATTGAGATCAACGTACTTTTTGAGTGCTTATACTGAGAGCTGTATTGAGTTCACGGTCGTGGTCGCTCTCGTGTCGCCTTCGGTAGTCGAGTGTACTGCTGTACAGGATCGTGACTAAAAAGCAGCAGCGTGAGGAGGACAACGTCGCAGTCACAAGTAGCAAGTCAACTGTTCAATGTGGACCATCCATCGAAGTAGGCATGTTCAGATCGAAGTTACTGTCGAGGTAGACACATTAACTCAATTCTACGATGAGGTGCCTTTTCGTAAACGAAGGTCTACGTTGTCGATAACAACTCTCCCCACAGTTTCAATAAATTCTCATATGAAAATCTTTACTTCATTTTGTTTATATTTATTAATTTTTGAAAATTAATTAAGGTGTTCTGTAAAAAAAACATTTCTTCAAACATAAAGAAAATGATGCGTCCTCTTTAAAATTATCTCAATTAAAATGTTTTTAATCATTTAGAATTTATGAGATTGCTCTTGTGAGATAGTCAGTGTATTTATTGCCAGAAATTTTTGTCCAAATGATAGTTTCATCAAAACATGCTAATTTGTTCATTTATTGTTTACGTATATTGCTGTAACATAACTGCATTGTTTTAAATTTCATAACGTAATAAATCACGTAATAACATATATGTTTATTTCACGTAATAAATAAACGTACCTTGAGTCAATGAAAATGATGTTTAATAAATCACTTTTGTAATAATTTTTTTATGTTTTAGGTTTCATTTTATGTTGCAGTTTTATTGACTGTTACAAATAGTTTTGTTGCTTATAAAGCTACTCATGCTTCAGACTGGACAGAATTTAAAATAATTGGTGCTTCTGAATCTCTTGCTGGTCAGTATAGTTCTTTTTTTTCTCTTAGCTCAGAAGTTAATCATGGATATACAATTTTTAATAAATGAATCAGGAGCAGCTTAGAAATGAATGTTAGTTCTTCAAATCAAATGAGAAATTCTCAGGCATGCTGAAATGTCGAGAAAACAAACATTTCATAAAAAAACTCCTCATAATTGATATTTTGATTTAAATCTCTATGTTGTCCAAAGCATTATGTGAAAGAAATTTTGATTTAATGAAAGCAATAAATTTTATTCGACAAGCAATTTAAGCTTTTGAAATACTCGAGATTAACGATAGAGCGTATGAGAAAACATTATAAAGGTAACTTTTAAATCTCAAAATTTGAATGTTTGAATTTTAGTGACAGCACTAAGTTAAAATGTTTGCCGTGGAAGAAGTGGATCCATAGCAAAGTAATTCTGAAATCTTAAAATCAGATTAATAGATAACAATAATTCATTGACACATGATAAACAAGTCTGATCTGAATATATTTGGAATCGAAATATTGGAAAATCGGCTGCGTCATTGCTTTTTAGAGAGAAGATCTCTGCAATTTTTTTTAACATTTTCATGTCTCTCATAGACATCCATGGAATATGTTTTAATAAACGCATGGGCAATTCCTGAGAGTATTCGGGCGGCACTGAATAGTTAGAAAACTTTAGCCATTCTGCTAAAGCTGAAACAGGGTTGCCATCCCACAGTGAAAACCTCGAAAATACAAGGAATTAAAAAAATTATCTAAAATAACAAGGAATTTTGAATTTTTCTTTATAAACTGGGAAAATACGTAGAATTTTTATTTCTTATTTTCTTCTTTTACAAAATGTTGATCTCTACGGATTTTTTAAAGATACTTCAGCTATACTATGTATACTATTTCATTTGCTTTGTTATTATTTTTTTTAATGTATGTTGAACTGTTTTTCCAGCAATTAAAACTAGTATATTAGTCATCCTAATATAGCTCACACAATTTGCGCAATGATTGTTGTGTTTCCTCTTAATATAGTGGGTATAATATGTGTGCATTGATCTTCATATTTGATTGGTAACCCTGTGAAAGAGGCCTTATGAATTCAATTTGTATGCATAAAAGAAGGAGATTAAAACATTTTAAATATTTCTTTAATGGAATAACCTCTAAAAGACTGGAATCCAAGACTAACGCTCAGAGGTTTAAACTGTCTTTAAACAAATTACCTTTTCTACTATTTGATTTCTGAATTTTCTATTCTAAATATTGCAAGAATTATGAGTATGAACTACAAAACTCTAATATGAATATTCCAAGTTTTGAAAAGATTTAGATCTTAGTTTTATAACGAATCATTTGAAACATTTCATTTGTTATTACTAAATTTATTACTATTACTAAGTTAACTAATTACTGAGGTTTTGGTTCAACTGAAACTTTTATTTGATTTTGAAATCTTATTTTATACGGATTTATATAAATATTTCTGTCTAATGTTTGCATTTTGAATTTAGTAAGTTTTAAATTGGTTAAGTAAGTTTGTAAGTCTAATTTGGATCATGGAACAAGTTTCATAAAATTTATTCTTATATTTATTAACTGTTAAGTAATTCTACTAAACATTCCATTTGTGACCTATTCTTTCTGTTATTGATTTGTTTGTAATATTTGTTGTTAGAAATTTGAGCAGACAACCGCAATATTGAATCTTTTCAATGATTTGGAACATTCTAATCTGTTTTAAAGTATGTATTAATAAAGTAAATGCAACTGAATAATTGTATAATTTATTGTTAGGGAGAAGAAAAGGGAGCTTTGTCTGTAGTAATTATACGTAACATAATGATATTATTTTATTTTATGACCAGCATTTTTTTTTGATGAAACAAACTCTCTTTTGTATTAGATGGAGTGGAAAGCTACCAAAATATTTCGAACAGCAACCGATGATCCGTCTACGACCATCCTCCACTCCTGGGATTTTGAACCTGGGTCACCTCATTTGACGCTCTATGTTAATGATTACAAAAATACTGCTTACACTTAAGCCACAATTTTCTGTTGAGCTTACCATCAACAACATCAACGACCTACAAATATGGTATGTGGAGCCAAGAAGGCTCAATAGAGCGTTTGCCTTCTAATGAGGCGGACTGGTTTCGAATCCCAGTCGAAACAAATTCCTCATCCTACTTGCACCGACCACAGTGCTGATGTAAAATATCCTCAGTGGTAGACTGATCATGGGTTAGAGTCCCCTTACCGTCAGACTAAATGTGGGAGGTTCTCGTGATCTTCCTCTCCATGTAACGCAAATGCGGGCTAGCTCCATCAAAAAGTCCTCCATGAATTCAAATTTCTCCCAATACTTGATCCAGGAGTTCCTTTGTCTTCTGGATTGGGTTAAAAATGACAAGGTTATGGAGTTGAGCATTAGAAGTCGTAAACCCATAAAATTGGGTCGGCTATTCGACAACGGTTATAAAATAAAATAAAATATGGTATGTAAGGGCCAGGATAGCCTGGTTGGTAGGCCACTGGGCCCATGTCCGAAAGGGCGTGTGTTGGATCCAAGTCAACCGAACACTCCCCGTGTAGTAAATGGTGACTGATGCACGTTAAATATGTTAAGTCACAAAGTCCTCCATGTTCTCATTACAAATCATACCTCTGGGGGTACTGATCCGAGATTTTTCTTGCCTTCTGGATTGATGCAAAGTTACAGGACTACGGAGTTGTCAGCTGTTCGACGAACAATTCGTTTTACATTAGTAGTATTAAACCCAAAAAATTTGATCAACGACGGTTATTAAACAAAATATGGCATTTTCAAAGCTATCTCAGATCTCTACATTACTTATTTAGGGTAGCTCCACAACTGAGAAATTTTTTTTTTTAAAAATGATAGAGAGATATTGGAGAAACGAATTATTTTTACAAATTCTAATAAAAAATATTTTTGTAAATTAAGTAAAATGTATATTGATATTAAATTTCTGTACAGTGTCGATTGATGACCGCAATGATTGATCAAATCTCCACATCATAATTCCTAAATTTAAAGTGAAATTAAAAGCTTTTCCATAAAATTTTTGTCTTCACTTTTTATATTTTTCTCAGTTGTAACCACCCTGATATTTCAGAAATTGCAATTGCTACAAATTTTTCACTATTTTTATGAGCTTCTTTTGTTTCAATTACGGAAAGCTTTTGCAACTACAGAAAAATTTTGCTTCTTAATTTTTTTTGTGTCTCTTTTTCTCTGGTTGGTTTCTTTTAATTTGTGAATGACCCTTTGTTTGTGTAACTTTGCAATTTAAGAACGAACCAGTTTTTACCAGATGTTCTTTATTAGAGTTATGAAAATCAAAGTATTTTTTTTATACATTGGAATTTAAAAATAAGAAAGAATATCAAGTTAGAACATAAAACTCTGGGATAATCAATAGAATGCCATTATTGCTAGTCACATATTTATAAAGTATTTATTACCTGATGAATCTAGAAATGAAGTTACTAATTTTTCTTCAAGTGATATCACAACTACTAAATTTAATAGCATTTATATTTTCTAGCTATGTATAGAAAACAATGCTGTTTCCTTTCTCTTTTGAAGTTTGATGCTTTATTTGTGGTATGTGTTTTTTAATAGTATCTTTTTTGGTTATTTCTCCTGTAAGTCTAATAAAGGCTTTTATGTCAGATTACAAAAAATTATGATAGAATGTTATAAAATCTTATTCTGATTGAAAATTTTTTTTTTACAAGTGAGATATATAATTAAGTTACATTAAAAATCATTATTTAAATTTATTCAGAGTGCAACCAAAGTTTTAGGCATACATATTTAAATGAATGCATATTTTTTCTTATTATTTTGCTGGAATTGATAGAAAAATTAACCAGTTTCTAAAAAAATAAAACAGAAAAAGATAATATTCACATTTATACCTATTTAAATTGCCACAAAAGTTTAGAAACAGATGACAATATTAGGTCGGAGAAAACAAAATTTTAATAATTGATTGAAAAACCTTGTTTTTTCTTCTTCTTTTTAACCAATTGTCACAGGGATTCTATATCAATTTGATTTTACTTAGCATTACTTTTGCTACTTTGCTTTTACATTTAATTTTACTTTGTTTTTAATGAAATTATTAAAGATTTGTAACTTGCAAAAATATTCTGAAATTACAATGTTACATTATTTTAAGGTTGCACAATGTTAAAATTTATATATATATATTTCATGATTTTGCTACGAAATTTTCTAGACTTGTTTAATTTTTATATCTTCTGTTTGATTTGTAAACTGCAAAAAAAAGTTTTTTGAGAACTGTAGCGGCAACTACACAAAGCCTCCTAACTCACCCCGGTCTGACGTGTTCACATTTTTACACAGTGACTATGAGACTATAAATCCTGGACAAAATTCCATCCTGATAATAGAAAACATACTCCTCCACGTTGGTAACTATGGAGTAGAGGCACTTCTTGACAGAAGGCATCTGTGTCTCGTTCCATTGAAATGTACTGGAATGATTGTGTGTTGGCAATTGTTTAAAGTTTATGACACTTTTGCCATGACGGTCAGAGCATCCAGCTAGTTACAATCTCAGCCAATAACGTATCACCTCCAAGAGTTTTTATTTTTTAGTTAATTATAGGAAGTAAATGGATCAATGTTATTTCTCAGACATAATGCTAATTGCAGTGCAATACTATCCTTCATTTTTTTCATACTAAAACGTTCTCCTTTTTAGGTGATCTGTGCTATATACAGTTTTCCTATATCATTAGATTTTCCTAACATAAGGAACCTTTATTTGCTCATTAGTTTAATCTTCATGTATTCATTCATGAGCTGGTGCTGTGGAAAAGTAACGGTAAGTGAAGTATCTTGCTTTCAGTTGGTTTTTGAACCAGAGCTTATTTGCTTTTTTTCCCAATGTGAATACTGGCGTCCAACTTTTGGACATCCCTGCTAATGTTAAGGAATATGCTCTTATCTGGTTAAAAGTATTTGGACTCCCAGTGGTATGGAACGTCTTGATTAATAGGATGTCGGTCCCCCCCTTTTGCATCGATGACAGCCTTCTGGGAAGACTTTCCACCAGTTTTAAATAGAAATTGACGTCCATCAACATCTGTGTTTGCAGAGAGGATTTGGCTGGCTACGTAATCTGCATTCAAAAGTGTGTTCTATGGCAGTGTTCCTCAACCTTTTTATCACCGTGGACCTGCCAACGTTTGATGATTTTACATCAGCCCGTTTAAACATACCTTCAAAATCAAATACAGTTACACCAAAAAATAAACATAAAGTGATTTACCATTTTTACTAATAGAATGTTAAAGCAATGAGTCACGATCGAGAGATGAGACAAAGTTCTTCATTGGTTCCAATGTAAGTTTCTTGCCTCGTTTTCGTGTTTTATTTATATTTACAGTTGTGGTGATTGTTTTTTTTTTATTAAAACTAATTGAAAGAGAAAATAGATGCGGTGGTTTTCTTTTTCTTTTTTTACTTTTTAAAACATTAAAAAATACTACCTTCGGGAGGCCCCTTTTTTTAAATAAATAAAATTTTAATGGAACACAATTATTTTTAATTTGGATTATAAACCTAGGAATTTAAATTCAGTTTCAATGAAATGGGTGGCCCGGTACAATTTGATCCGCGGGGAACGCTGTCTTAGAACACTTATTTCGTCAAACCACGTCTGTGCAAGCCTCATTGTGTGAATGGCAGAGAAATGGGACAAAATATTGATATAGAGTTGGGAGTGCAGCATGGTTCATGTACATCTCAGAGTTCCAACTGCACAAACTAACGGACTCACACCATTATGCTACCACCGCCATAACAACCGGTTGTTCGGATGCTTTTGAGCAGATAGTGTATGTTGCTTTCCTCTTGTATTGAACATTCTATATACGAGATGTCTCCTAACTTTCTCTCGGTTATAGAAACATGGTTGCAATTGAAAAACAATTTCTAAATTAAGTTAGTTTTCATCGTACAATTGTTTTGGTAAGCTTTTAGAAAAGTTATACCTTCATGCTCTTTATGTACTCTAAAACTTAGTTAAAGAACAAATTCACAAATAATGACCTACGCCATATTTGCACAAAGAAAGAGGAGAAAGAAATCATCTGTTTAAGGGACTGTATCGATGTGGCATTACATCTTGGAACCACTATCAAAACTTACCTTGCTGGGCGTTCATTTTAAACGTATTTTGAATGAATTTGTAGATGCTTTGATACGTTAAGATGAATGTTTTTCTCTTATCATTAGATAAATGAAATATTTGAAATTTAATGTATGAAAAATTAAATTGAAATATCTAAGAATGAAAGATTTTTCAAATGGAGTGAATCGTATATTTATTCATGTTTGGTTAAAATGATCAAAAGCTATTTACATTTATAAATGAATAAGTGAACCATATTGATGGGAATGAAGTAGTATTTAATTCATTTTAATAAGTTTATCAAGAAGGTGTTTTCTATTTCTTATAAATGTGAAAGAAATAACAATTTTAATTCCAATTTATTCTTTTTAATTTCAATAAAACTTTCTCTTAATAATATGAAGCATATATATGAGAGTTTCTCTACCAAAACTAAAATTTATGTTATAAACTAAATGCATTGAAGATCTCAATGAAGTAAAAAATATATTTATTTTGTTACAGATAATTCACAATGACACATTTACTTCACGATGCTGGGGCCAGGATACGCCTTTCTAAATCAATAATAGCTCTAATTTAATACAATGCATACTTTTTCGTCAAGAGCAGACATATCTTGCCAGAAGTAGCTGTTAAATAAGGCTGATGGATTTTATACAGTTACGTTTTAAGAGCCTTTTTAATATTCTGGTTGAAAATTAAATGGGTGGGCTTTTTTTTAAATTGTCTTCTTTAAGGCCGGGATAGCCTGGTCAGCAGGGCACTGGGCCCGTGCTTGATATCTGCCAGCTGAAGACTACCCCTGTAGTAAATGGTGACTGATGCACGCTTAATCTGATGGATCACTAAGTCCTCCATATTCCCATAACAAATCATACCTCTGGGGGTACTGATCTAGGAGTTTCCTTGTCTTCTAGATTGGTTCAAAATTACAAGGCTACGGATGATTTAAAAATGAGGACCATCTTCTTAACAATAAGATTTACAAAGCTAATAAATCAATTTTGCATAAATTATTTTATTTACTTTCCCGGGATAAATATCCCTCCTTCGTAGCCAACGAAAATGTATTTGCCCAAAAACATGCTATATAGTGGAGGTGCTACCTCCACTATACACTAGAACTGGACCATCCCCCATCATGTAACAAACTAATAAAAAAAATTTCAAATAATTCATTCCATTAAGCATTTCTCTGGAAAAATTTTGATTAAATCTAATTACTATCTCATTTTTATTGAATGATTTTCAACTTTTTTTTCTTCTAAGGATTCCTCAAATTAAGTTCTAAGTATATTTCATATTGGACATAAATTTTAAATTATTCAGTTTAACTATTACTTATTTAAAAATAGCATTTTGTAATAAAGCTAGCTGGCATTCAAAATTATTTGAAAACAGATAGGTTTGTTCTTTTGACTAGTTATTAGCTTTTTTCTACAATAAATAAATAAGTAAGTAATAATAATAAATAAATGGGTTAGATGTCTTCAAGTAAAAATGTTTGCTGCTTTTGAATCAGAATTTAAGAGAAAATGAGTTGTGTTTTGAAAAAATAAATAAATAATAGAGTGTAAAAAGAAAAGTTAATATTTTTAAAAATAAGTAAAGCTAGTTCTGAATTTAAACTTCTTATGCAAAATATTAGTTGTTTTATTTTAAAATAGCACCTTTTTTTTCTATTTGAATATTCTTTTTATTCAGATATGGAGAACATTATGGGGTTAAATGCACATAGAGTGTGATATAAATTGAGTTATAAAAATTTTATTTCTTAAATTGTGTAGGTTTGCAAGGAAGATAAATATTTAGCATCTGGATTCATTGTGTTGTGTATCACTTATCCTTGCTTATTGATCTACCAGGTAATTAAAATTTATTCATTTAAAGGAACATTTCTCCTTTCAATTTAAAAAAAATGATGCTCCATTGTTTAAACTATTAGCATTCTAGTTTTCCATACATATTAGTACTGTTATTTTTAAGTGTTATGTTTCTTGTTGTTAAGGTGCGAAACATAGACCTTTTTCTTGACTTTTTTTCTTTTTATTTGTTTGTTCTTTCTTTTAATTGACTCGCAGTAAACATTCAAAATGTAAGATAAAAAGTTTCTTAACATAAATGTAGAAAAAAGATGTAGGAAAGCTTTTTGGCATTAATTTATATTGATAAGCTTGATTGGTATTGATATGATTATTATTGCTAAGCCTCCGTTTTTCTGAAGCTTATATTTCAACATCAAACTAATCCTTAGTATTGTTTCCATGTAGCTACTTTACAAATTTCCACTCGAGGACAAGACAATAAACTTTTTATTGCCTCCATGGAAAACATTGTGTTTTTCACAAAAGAAAGCTTCCTTGAACAGTTTGAAATTTTGCATTTCATTGAAAGGTGACCATAGAACAGGAAAAATCGGGGAATTTTATCAATTGGTTTGAGAAATAAACTAAAGTACACAAAAAGTCGTGGAAAATTAATAAATTAATGTTTCAAGTACCTGTAAAGATTGTTATTTTTTCCAAAAAATTAGGCTTTGTAACAATTATTATGACATCAGCTACAAAAATTTGATGATAACATCAGTGGTAAAGTGAGGGTTTTTTCTCTTCCGTGTTTAGGGTTTGTCAACAAATTCTTTGTTATATTTCTCTGCTTTATAAGTTTTTGATTCTTTAATAATGCAAGAAATACAGGAAAATCAGGAATTGTCATGAAATTTTAGGAAATTTCTTAAAAATCATAATAAAACTTCAAAATTGTTTAAAACAATGAGCAAACTCTGACTGTCTTGAATGCCCTCCCCTCACCCCCAGGAGGGCATTGGAAAAATATAAATATATTTTCACATGAATGGAAGTAATTTGAAATGAGAAATCATTTTTTTAGTTTATAATTTTTAGTAAATACTAGGATATTTTCTTGCATTTTTAAGGGCTGTGTTAGGACCCAGATTTTGAAGTTATCAAATCAGGGCTCTTTTTTCTTTCTTTAATATCTTCATCAAACTACATTTTTGTGATATTCTTTTTTTTATCATTTTTGCAGGTTTACATGTCAAAAACTCGTAAGATGTCTGATGAAAATCAAGTTTTCTATCTACAAGCTCAATTTATATGTATGTGTGTTAGCATTTCATTAAACACTTATTGCTGTTCATTTTTAATCCTATCTATGCATATTTTGAGGACTGAAAATGTAGAAATGCTTTTAATTCAGCGTCAATTATCATCATCTTTAAATACACTTGATTTCTTGTCTAGATTAATATTTCAAGTTTCTCTTCTGAAAACTTATAGAAAGAAAAAAATGCTCCTTAATTTTTGATTTTGCTTTTAGATACTGTACAGAATTGCTATTATAACCTGTTAAATAAGAGAAAATATTCACACCAAACATTTCTCCAAAAATAATTGTTTAACTAACAAAATTCTATGACATGTACTGAAAAACTAGTAATTCATAAAAACAAACCAGTCAATTGCCTGTCAGAAGATGTGCCCTATTCATTTTGCCGCCAAGCTTTAATGTGAATTTTTTTTTTCCCGTATTGGATCGAGGTTTTTCGATTTGCCTTTGTTGGCTGCTTTCCAGTTTTCCATATTGTATGTCGACAATCACTATAACAATGGTGCAGATGACTATAAAAGATAAACTATTTAACTCTATGAACTTTATACGGCAAAATTTGTGTGATACACCTTGCAATGAAATTGCTCAGTATAATCGCTTAAATCGGATTTACTGTGATGTCAGCAATTATTCAGTTGTGAAAATCACCTTAACCGAAATTTATGTACCCCCGGTTTATTGGGTTATATCTTTTAACGACTGTGGTAGGATTGCACATAATTTTTACCCCAGCCAGATGACATAGACAGCTGGTACCCATCTCTCCAACCGACGAGAAGACTTTCAGCCACTGCAGGTTTACCGTGCCCTTTGCTGGGTATGCATGCCAGTCATTTTATCGGCTTCCGGGATTGAAGGTGGGACCTCCCCAGCTGGCCCACCAGAGGTGTAAGCGATTAGACAGGCAGGAAAGTTATGTAGATACTTGTGAAAATGGGAATTTGCGAAAAGATTATTATTGTTATAATCTGTGCTTCAGGAGGTAGAGCGTTTGCTTTCTAATGAGAAGAAACATAATTCAAGTCTCAGCCATGGCTGGTGGATTCAAATTCCACATCGAACACGTTGCTGACGTAAAATATCCTTGGTGGTAGACGAATAGTGGGTTCCCTTGCCGTCAGGTTTTCATGGCTTTCCTCTCCATGTAACGAAAATGTTGGTTAGGTCCATCAAAAAGTCTTCTACAAAGGCAAATTTCTTCCAACACTTGATCCAATAGTTCTTCTGGTTTGGGTTCAAGATTACAGAGTTGAACACGAGTTGTTGTCGACCCAAAAGCTGGGTCGACGATGGTTATAACATAAAATAAATACATGCTTCAAATATTCCATGAATCTGTATCATTAAGCATACAAAAGACATATATTTTAGTGTTTTTAGGAGCAACTTGAGTTAAAATTATTTTACATATTCAAAAAAAAAGAAGGTAGAAAAAAAAATTATAATTATTGATAATGGTGGGTCAAATTGATTAAAGTATGTCTGAAATATTTGTAGGTGCAGTTATCATTGTACTCTGCAAATTTCTTTTGACAGTGTTGATGATACAAACCTGTCGAACATTCGGTTATGGATTAAACACCTCATGTAAGTATTTCTTCTTTAAAACTGTTATTTCGGATCATCGCTATTTCCATGCTCATTAAATTATACTTTTATTATTATTTTTGATTTATGCGGGGGGGAAATATATAATAAATTTTTTACAGTATGCATCAGTGAACTGATTCATTTAACTTACACATTCTTTATTTAAATTTGGATTTTTAATTGATATTAGTTAAGTTTTAGTTATTATGCTAAGTAAATGTTTTTTTTTTTTTTTTTTTTTCTNTTTTTTTTTTTTTTTTGTATGAGCAACTTTAGTAGGTACAATTTTAGTTGAGAAAAATATCTTAAATTGGCTTCTCTTTTTGTATAATTTATTATTTTTTTCAATTTTTGTCATTAATTAGCTTAGACGAACAATGCTATCTATTTTTTTTTATTGAATTTAGTACTTAAAATACTACCATCTAAAGATTTTCCACAGTGGTAGTAAAAAAGTAAAGTAAAAGCATTTTGGTACTTAGCCATTTTTTTTAATGAATCAGCATTAAACTATGCCACATTATCTTATTCAAAGTTGTTATATATTTCTATTAATTATACGAGGGTTGTATATAAAATAAGGTTCCCAAGGAGCTGCAGACGCTAGGAACGCTGTTAAGCGGGATTTGTTGAGACTGGCGTGTAACTTGGCTCCCTTTCCCCCAGTTCCCGCTCCGGCGAGGTATCTACAACGTTAATTCTTTTCTTGGTAGTCGTGAAAGATGGAGCTTCCATTTGTTTCTCACGCCAGGTGCGAATTACACTCTGTGATTTGTTTTTTAGTGCAAGAAACGTTCCTCTGGTGGACATTCATTCCCATCTCTGTGAGGCGTACGGGGAAGAGTGTATGAGTGAGCAACATGTGCGCAAATAGTGCAGAGAATTCAAAGACGGACTTACAGACGTCCATGACAAACAACGTTCTGGCCGGCCATCGTTTTCAGACGAAGCGATTTCGAAAGAGGAAGAAGCAATGCTGAAAGATTGAAGGGTGACGGTTCGGGACCTCAGCGAGATGATCCCTGTTGTCACTAAGTCCTGCATTCACAACATTTTGAGAGACCGCTTAGGATATGCCAAGGTTTGGGCAAGGTGGGTCTTGAAAATGCTGACGAATGACTATGACAACAAACGGCAACGTGTGGAAGCCGCCTGCGAATTTCTTCATGCCTACGAAACCGATGGCAAGGAATTTTTGGACTCTGTTGTCACTGGGGACGAGACCTGGGTCCACTACATGACATCGGAAACAAAAGAACAATCCCGTTAGTGGAAGCATCCANAAAGATTTTCCACAGTGGTAGTAAAAAAGTAAAGTAAAAGCATTTTGGTACTTAGCCATTTTTTTTTAATGAATCAGCATTAAACTATGCCACATTATCTTATTCAAAGTTGTTATATATATATTTCCATTGATTATACGAGGGTTGTCCATAAAATAAGGTTTCCAAGGAGCTGCGAACGCTAGGAACGCTGTTAAGCGGGATTTGTTGAGACTGGCGTGTAACTTGGTTCCCTTTCCCCCAGTTCCCGCCCTGGCGAGTTATCTACAACGTTAATTCTTTTCTTGGTAATTGTGAAAGATAGAGCTTCCATTTGTTTCTCACGCCAGGTGCGAATTACGCTCTGTGATTTGTTTTTTAGTGCAAAAAACGTTCCTCTGGTGAACATTCCCATCTCTGTGAGGCGTACGGGGAAGAGTGTATGAGTGAGCAACATGTGCACAAATAGTGCAGAGAATTCAAAGACGGACTTACAGGCGTCCATGATGAACAACGTTCTGGCCGTCCATCGTTTTCGGACAAAGCGATTGCGAAAGAAGAAGAAGAAGCAATGCTGAAAGATTGAAGGGTGACGGTTCGAGACCTCAGCGAGATGATCCCTGTTGTCAGTAAGTCTTGCATTCACAACATTTTGAGAGACCGCTTAGAATTGGGCAAGGTGGGTCTTGAAAATGCTGACGGATGACTATGACAACAAACGGCAACGTGTGGAAGCCGCCTGCGAATTTCTTCATGCCTACGAAACCGATGGCAAGGAATTTTTGGACTCTGTTTTCACTGGGGACGAGACCTGGGTCCACTACATGACACCGGAAACAAAAGAACAATCCTGTTAGTGGAAGCATCCAGGCTCGCCAAAGAAGTTTAAGCAAATTCTGTCTGTTTTAAGCTATTTTCGCGGACCGGCGGCAGAGTTCTACGACTCAGGCATAAAGAACATGGTACACCGCATGTAAAAATGCATTGATCTAAACGGCGATTATGCCGAAAAAAAGAGGGAAGTCTAAACTTTCCAAACATGTATTATTCAATGCCAATAAACATGTTTTTCATTGTGAAAATTCGTTGGGAACCTTATTTTATGGACAACCCTCGTACATGCCACTGTGGTTTTTTATTCAGATATTTTTTTTAAATCCAAACTTAAGAAGCCATCAAAATGTGTACCTCTAAAAAAATCCTCGTAAAAAAGAATAAAAGTTGATAGCAATGCATTCAACTAAGAAGTAACACGGAACTAGTTTTTGTATTGAAGATTTAAAAATTTGTAAAACTTAAGTAAAAATATTGAAAAGCTTGGTACACGTGGAATTGTATAAAACCAAAAACACAACGACGCTATCTGGATTTTAAATGAACGAATTCTTTTATACCCAGAAAGAACATTAGTAAAGGGTGTAGTGTAGCAAGCCTTCTTTGAATAGCACTTTGGAGGGTTGCCTATATAAATCATGTTTTAGTGTTTGCAAGCAGTAGCGAACAACAGCTTGTTTCCTAAGTATATGAGTTATATATATTTGCAAAAATAAGTGTAAAAATATCAATATACAGTAGGGAACCGATTATCCGGAACGGTCGAGACCATCGCTATTCCGGATAACTGATTTTTCCGGTTTTCTGAATCCCTACAAAAAGCCGTTTTTTTAGTGTTAAACCCAACTAAAAAAAAAGAAGAAAAAAAATTTGAAATAATCTTAAAAGTAAGAAAAAACGATTAAGTAATGCACTAATGATTGTTTCCAAAATGATGGTAAGGTAAACATCTTTAAAAAAAGAAAGGAAAATCGTAAAATCTTATGAGGAANATGCATTCAACTAAGAAGTAACACTGAACTAGTTTTTGTATTGAAGATTTAAAAATTTGTAAAACTTAAGTAAAAATATTGAAAAGCTTGGTACACGTGGAATTGTATAAAACCAAAAACACAACGACGCTATCTGGATTTTAAATGAACGAATTCTTTTATACCCAGAAAGAACATTAGTAAAGGGTGTAGTGTAGCAAGCCTTCTTTGAATAGCACTTTGGAGGGTTGCCTATATAAATCATGTTTTAGTGTTTGCAGGCAGTAGCGAGCAACAGCTTGTTTCCTAAGTATATGAGTAAAATATTAAAAAATAATAATAATAAAAATAAGTGTAAAAATATCAATATGCAGTAGAGAACCGATTATCCGGAACGGTCGGGACTATCGCTATTCCGGATAACTGATTTTTCCGGTTTTCTGAATCGCTTCAAAAAGCCGTTTTTTTAGCGTTAAACCCAACTAAAAAAAAGAAAAAAAAATTTGGAAATAATCTTAAAAGTAAGAAAAACGATTAAGTAATGCACTAATGATTGTTTTCAAAATGATGGTAAGGTAAACATCTTTAAAAAAAGAAAGGAAAATCGTAAAATCTTATGAGGAAAATTTTTTTTTTTTAAGAATGGCGCGAAAATTTATCGAATTTTGTTCCAGTTTTCTGATTTCCGGATAACGGGTTCTGTACTGTATTTAGTAAAATTTTAATTTTAAATTTAAACAAAAAATTCTTATGCTTTCAGAAATAATTGTGTGCATATTAATTTGAATTGTAGAATAATGGTGGTTGTATTTCTCCTCAACAAAAGCAATTTCTGAGAAGATATGACTGAGACATTATGGCACTCAATGGTTAAAAAATATCAGACATTTAAATAATCTCTCTACTTATAATTAAGGGTGCACGACCTGTTGATGTTCATTTGGTTTTTGTTTAAACATAAGAAATTTTCTTCGATTAAAATATTTAATTCAAATTTATATTACTCTATAAGATGTGTATATTTTTTGCATTTTTATTCTGTAAGAGCTTCTTTTTCGTTAGAATATATGTCTCCTCCACATTTTATATACGAGTGTTGTTTTTTAAGTGAGGGCCGGCCGTTTTGTCGTGTACTCTAATAGGTGACGCTTGCATCACAACTAGTACTCGTGGCGTGTCCTGGCATTCCTTGGGAACCACTGTGCTCGATGGCAGTTTAGTGGATAAACTGTCAATTCTGTGTCTTAAAATGTTCAAATTTTACAAATCGCCTGCCATGCACGAGGTATGGACAGTGATAAGTTTTTAGTCTGCAAAAAAAAATGTCTGCTGCATTCATTTGTGAGATAGCAAAATTCCCTGCCGTGCTGACCGGGAATTTTGCTACTGTACGACAATGACTCTCTCCGCAGTTCAGATCCCAGCTCTATTGGGAAGTTTTGGACCACCCCTACAGTTCAGACATTGCTCTGAGTGATTTTCATCTTTTCCAATATTTCAATCATCATTTTGGTGGCCAACACTACAAAGATGGCGGTATGTGAAAACGGCCTTGACCACTTGGTTAACAGAGCAGGGGGCAAGTTTGTATGAATAGGGTATTCTAAATCTACTAGTAAAGTATGGTAAGTGTTTTAACAGACTTGGCAACTGTGCTAAAAAAGAGAGAAACATATATAGAATCTGAAAATAAATTTGCTTCTTGAAAATTTTCTTTCATTGGTTTTTATTTTCAAACTGCCTTTACTTTAAAAACAACCGTCGTATATATATATTTGATAAATTAATTATTGTAAAAAATAGAAAAATAATTAAAAGGATTTAATTTTCAACAAATATTTTATTAATTTTAAAGATAAAAATATTTAATGCTTAGAAATGTTTATATAAAATTGATCATATTTGTCGCTAACATGATGCGTGCGGCCCGTTGTTAATCTACCTGCTGTGCAAGTGACCCTTCACTCAAAATGGTTGTGCACCCCTAACTTATACTACCCACAGTATCACTTTGAGTACTTTTCTGACTTATTGCATTTGAGCAGCAATGCTTGCTTTGAACCAACTTCCTGTAGCATCATTTATATATTTTTTGACCACACTTATGTTTGTTTATGCTTGCATATTATACATTGATTATTGCATGCTGTAGTTATTTTTATTGCATGTTACTCCAATTATGCTTTATTTATTATTACTTATATAATTTATTTTGCATCTGTAATTTTATATTTATTTATTTCACATTTATTTTCAGCTTTCTATGATTTAGTATCACGAGATTCAAATAGTTTATTTGCATATAGCAGGTCAGCAGTTGTATTTTAATCTGTACCAAAGGGCGTTAAAAGGTTATTTGGCTCATTTTATTCTACATTCCTTTCGATTTCTTTTTGTTTTGGGTAACATTTTTCTTTTTTTAACAGCCATGGAAACTTTAAAGATATGGCTCGACAGACCCTCCAAGAAGAAGCCTGAGAGCGATAAGCCGTCGTGTTTCGGATTTTTGAAGCAATGCTTTCGTCTGAAATGCACAAACAAAACTAAAGAGATGGAATACACGTATAAAGACATCTACAGATTTTAGTTCATTTTGAGTCAAGGAGTATGCCACAGTTTGTTGTCATTTGAATTCTAAAGAAATTGTCGTAGAACGTTTTATGTTTTAAGGAATTTGATCTGTTGTTATCTCTTCCTACTCAAATGGTGTCAATTCCCACCCCCCTTCAAAATGATTGCAGCTTTTGTTTTTGTATAGTTGATTTAAAGTTTTCATTCAAATTCTGTGAGAAATTGTTATGCATGAGTATTGGAAAAGAAACTATGTTGAATCATTCTATTCAATCTGTGAAGAAACAGGGAAAATAGATTGAGTTTAAAAATCACCTGAAATAACAGGAAAAATCCAAAGAATTTTTATTTTTTGCTTATAAACTGGAAATTCTTATTTTCCTCTTTTAAAAAAGTGGTGACCACTCAAAGCGTAATCTATGAGATATTTAAGAATGATATTTCAGCTAAACTAAACTATTTCATTTACTATAGCATTATTTAAGTATGTCCCCTTTTTTTTCTATCTAAGCATATTTTTTTCTATCTCAATTAAAATTAGTCTAGTTAGCTTTATATAGCTGTAAATACACAAGTGGGCAACCTTTGTGCTAAAATACAAACTGAGGTAAACAACGTTAAAGAGCACAAAAATATTATTAAATGCAGACAGCTGTTTCGGATGCTCAAAGGGCAACCTTCATCAGTGCAACAGAAAACAATAAGAGAACAGAGTAAATATATATAGAAAGATGACGTCACAAGAGGGTTTAGACCAACGGCCAATAGGAGGGAAGGGTGAATGGAAGACGACGAATAGGAAGCAAGGAACAAAAAAGGGGGAGGGGGTTAGTTAGGTTTTATCATAGATTTCCAAACAGGAGAAATATAAGGAACACTTGATAGGTCATTGACCAACAGTTTGGAATTTTTGAAAATATGATAAGACTCATAAAAATCTAAATCATATATTGAGGAACAATTTTGAATGACTTTAGAAGAGGAAAAATTAAAATTATGATTAGAGTCCCAACAATGTTGGGCAATAGATGAGCGTTTAAATTCTTGTTTTTTGACATAAGCTTCATGTTCCTTGACACGGCACT